ATGTACTCATCTAGTGAAGTGCGCTCACCAGCATGGCACACCAGCATTAAAGGTGAGCCCTTCACCGTACCCCTACCACCTTTACATCTCAAATTTAGTGAAAGGAAGTTCTAGGCAGCATTGTAAAATAGATAATATTCTATGAATCCCCTTCTCCAACAGGTAAAAGATGGGAAACACAGAATAGGCGAGTCTCATGGCCATAGGAACCACTGTCTTAAAGTAAATACAGACATATGTGTAATCTTCTCTTCAGTTTTTTCCTTCAGTGAAAAAATATATGGAAACATTCAAAGTCTAAAAGTTAAGACTAGGTTCTCATGATTTTCCTCTGCCCATATGAAAGGTTAAGCACAGTCACCAAACTTGGAATTCCATCCTCAGTCACGAAGAACCCTCTGGCACAGCTCCCAGACCAGTAAAAAAATGACCATTTCAGTCCCTAAAGCATGGAGCCTGAGCCCTTAAAGTAAAACAAGTTCTACTGACAGCTGTTTTTCTTACCATATTCACGTCTGCTTATATATTACAGAAAAGCCCTCCAGGACAACAGTGTTTATTAAAGGATTATTTCTGTGAATCCAGGGAACACAGCATTAACTAAGCAACAGTGCTTCTACCCTTGTATCTTTTTTTTTTTTAATGCGAACCAAGACAAACCAATTTTTTATTTTCTTTACCAAGAACCACTCACAATGGAAAACATGAAATACAACTTTTTTTAAAAAGAACATTTTTAACATTTCTACACGTGAATGGGTAGAACACTGACATGCATTTTAAACATTAACATACAAATTAGAGGTTTTATTTCTTACTGATTCCCTGGATCTAGAATCTAGTGACTCTAAAGAAATGGGAAGCAAAAATATGACAGATTTTTTTATTAAAAATTTTCATACAAATATCCATAATGCTTTCACTGAGAAAGACAATTCTGAGCTAGCAAGAAGCTTTCTACTGACAGGACTAAGACTTTATGAATAAAGCACAGAAATACATGATAGAGACATAAAAGGTAAACAGGCCAGCAGTTGCTCATTGTGCGGAGGAGCACAAAAGAAGCCTCCGAATCCTTCTGTGCACATCTAGCAGCAGGAAGAGGGCAGTGGTCAAGTGCATTAGAAAGCAGAAAGCGAGTGGCCTCAGGTACTGATGCTCCTCATCTCTCAGCCTTTCCCCAAAGTGTAACAGCCATCAGCTGGGGATAAACAGCGCCCTGTGACAGCTGCGTTCCCCAAGATGGAAGGAGGAGCAGGAGTACCTGGAGACCCATGCTCACGCACACTACCAACCATCAGCCTCTCATCGTAGGTAGTCAGTCTGTGGGGCTTCCCAGCTGACCATTTCCGCGGAAAGCATGCAGAAACTTGTTTTTGTCATACTACGGTTGTCACAGTAGCTTTTGCGCAAACTACTTGTCATAAATATCACGTCACGTTTCATTTCAACTTAAACTCATGCTTGAAATCATTAAGAGCAACTGTTATAGGCACTATATCTGTTTAATGATGCAATACAGTAAAGAACATGAAGAAATTCTTCAATAAAATTATAAAATGAAAGACTTTTTAAGCTGATCAGTTCCAAATTAAGGAAATATTAACTAGAATTTGCTGTTAATGTGTTTGGAACAGCCGACATTTAAACAAAAGGAATGCTTCAAATTAAAAAGTTTTAATGAAAAAAATCAAACCATATATAGCGGTGAACGCTACATCAAGGAAGTCAGTGGAACACTGACATTGACTTGCATAAGCCACGACATTTTCCTGCTGTGCTTTTGCCTACTGCCTTAATATGTGAGCTTTTCAAGCCACCTGATCTTAGTGTCTTTATCCTAAACTGTAAAAAGAGGGTATTTCTCTGTCTTTGTAAATCCCTTTAAGAGTTTATGACAAAGTATGTAGATTAGTCAGAAGGTCTTACTAGTATTATGTTTACCATACACCTAAAAAAAGACCAAATGTGCTTTACAATAACCATTCAAAGCAAAGACACTATACTCATATTGCTAGGGTTCAAATTTGCTGACAAGATCCTTGGGTAAGCAACATATTTTTAGAAAACGCAATGTGGGAATGCATGTTTATATGGTAGAACACAAAAGCAACAAATCTCTTGGGAAAGTTGGAGATAATTCATCTACACAAAGAGGCCCTTTACTCTTATTTCTCTCCAAAGTTGAAACATTTTTATCTGAAAGAGCTTTTTCATATATCAGGAAAATGCCACTCTTGCTTGCTCATTTTTCCCAAGGTGAAGAGAGTTAATGCTAACAGAATAATTGTGAGAATTTGATATTTTTATTTGTTTTATCAAATACTGTGGAATGTTATGAGGGGAACTGTCAGCTATTACTTACTCCACCTCAAGATCTGCTGCATAGAAAATACACTGCTAATTTGCTTACATGGCTTTTGTAGATGCAATTATTGTTAGCAGGATGAAAGAACTTTTATAACAGAACACAATTTAAATGTAACATGTCATGGCCTCATATATTTAAGCTAATCCTTAGGGCTTCTTGAGGCTTTCTATACTTTTGCCAAAAAGTATAAAGGAGCATGCATTGTTGCTTCAGTTCCCAAACACTGGAAAGTTAAATATCAGCTAAACAGAATAGAGACTGGTACTGGGAAAAAACAAAAATCAAATCTCTCTTTGTTATTAAAGCTCAAGCAAACAAGTATTGAAAATCTACCTATAAATTTTCTCACATCACATGAAAAGTAGCCAGCAGAATGAAGGAAGATGCACCAGCTCAAAATGAAGCAAACCTACTCACATTGAAAACCAGAGACTTTATGCCACAAAATAAGAGAAGCTGATTAAAGTAACACTGAGGTAGGCTACTCTAAAAAGTTAACGCAGAAAACCAGAACCATAATTGCTCGCTTGCTTTTATTCTTGCTCTCTTTCTCAACCCTTAGGTATTCTATGGATTACCAGTGCCTATCTACCATGATGAACACCATATAAATACACAAGGACAGAATAAGTTAGATCTATGCTTTCTGATTGCAGTACCCTACCTTTGATACAGAGATAACACGAGAAGATGTGGCATTGAACTTCAGGGTTTATTGGCATGATTTTAAAATGATTGCCTAAACTATACTTGACAGAGCAATGAATGAGTTATGTCAGACATCTCACATATGTACCAACCACTTTGTGATGTTGCCTCCACATTGCACATTTAAAATCAGACATGCTTTAGGGTATTGAAGGAAGATCCACTACTTTTAGGAAAACAAAGCATGCTTTTGTTTTGACACTCTACTTGGTCTCAAGACGCTAATATCTCTCTAAAGACACTGCTGGAAAAGGGAAAATAAGCAATGTATTCATCAGAGTATGGGTCACCTAGACATATCTGGGTGACCTGAAATACACTTAAGAGTCAACATGTGACTAGAACTGAAAATACAATGGAAACTAGTGACAGCCCATTCCTTTTTACTAACAGCTGAGCAGATGAATTCTTTGCAACATGGAAAGATAATTACATGCTCTACTACAATTATCCCTTAAATGATGTTAACACAAGTTAGTGAACTGACAAAAAAAATATGACAATGCAAAAGCTACTCTACGTATTATTTGCATGTGTGGGTAACCGACATTTTCTTAAATAAAATATCTGGGAAGCATTATGCCTACAGCTAAAGTGAATTTTGGTCTTTTTTTCTTAAATTGCATCTATCAACTCATCCAGACCAATGCCCTTTTGACTAAAGTATCAAGATATCATATCCTTTTACTCACAGTAGGCATTATTACTGAGATATTATAAAACTGCGGTAGTCAGTACTTTTCCCTCTTTTCTTCTCTACCCAGAAGTGTTTTCACCAGTTCAAAGGAAAGTCTTTGCGGTATTGACCAGGAAAACAAAGCATCACTGAAATCAATAGCTTAACTCGACAGCTGGATACTTGAAAAGTCTCATCCAGTTACTTTTTTGCAATAAAACAGGTAAAGAAACAAATGCTAAGCAACAAAATATAACAAGATAACCACCCCGCTCTTTCTAAAAATAAGATAAAATTTGTACAGCTCAACATCCATCAACATTTCCTTAATGTATATTCCAGACTTGTATTTGGGCAAGTAGTTCAGCCTCTCCCACATCAAAACCCCAACACTCAATATTTCTCACTAAGAATGTTATGAATATCGGAAGCTCCCCTCGAGGCATTGAACAAGGAAATTTCCATTGTCAGGCACAGGGCAAAATGGGGCCTGCGCTATAACAACTTCCAACTTATCCCTGAGAAAAAGTCACTTGAAAGCTTGAAGCCATTGTGATAACACACTGAAGTGGACATCATAAGACTGAAAGACTAAAGGGGAGGAGGAGGAGCACTGGGACATTCTTAATTCCAGAAATGGAAGAACAGAAATCTAATGAAAGTGGACAGATTTCTCATCCTGACCCTTCCATTTTAGGAGTAAAAATTAGCTTATTAGCATATCTGCCAACTGTATGGTCCAAAGATGTTAGAAGGAAATACTGAGATACAATCCTAGAAGAACTAACTTACCAAAGCTGCAAATTCCAAAAACGGTTAATAAAGCCCTTCAGCTTCGGCAACAAATTTTTATTCAAAAATATAATGTACATAAAGAGAAGCTGCCTATATATAAATACATTTGCCCTCCCCAAATTGAAAAAAAATTAAATATTCCCCCACTTAAAGCATTTAAAAAATTAAATATTCCTCTGGGTGCTGAGGAAGCATTCAAAATATGTTGCTAAAATGAAAACATGGGACTGTTTTCATGGATTAGTATGCAAAAGAATATCATATACAGCCAAAGACTTTTCTTCTTTCATAAGTGATCAGGTCACACACCCACACCACTATTATGCCTTCAAGTAATTGAAAGCAATATGACATTAACACTTATCCAACATTTCTTACAAAAATGAGAACAAATTGAAAAGTTCAAAGAAGAAATGCAAAGAACACTCCAGAAAAAACTGTACCACTTACTGTTCAATACGTGGGGAGAGATACAGCTTAGGAAAAACCTGAGTAGCTTCTGCATCCTCAAAACTAACTGAAAGAAGTGCAACATCTTCTCCAGGATCTTCATTCACATCCTGTACATAAAACAGATGTTTATGTGTATATATATATACATATACATAAATATGTATATAAAATAAAATGACAGATAACAAACTGAGTACTCTTGAGCTTACAGATAACGAATATAGTCAAATACCAATGCAAGAGACACTCAAGTGGGGAATCTACAGCATGATCATTTAAAAATAGGTTGCAAATATATCCTTTCTTACTTTATTAGTACTTAGAAGACATCCTGAAGTGCTCAATTTCCTTTAAAGTATCAAAATAAAATTACTGCATTAGCAAGAGTACAGTCATGTATCTCTTCTTCCACTGGCTGAACACACATTTCAGTAAAGATACAGATTTTGTTTCTAATAATTATAGATTTGACATAACCAAAAACTTTTTTGTTAAAATATCACTAAATTATGAACTCCGGTTTTATATTCGTCATTTTTCAGAGAAGTATATGGCCCAAACTTTGTTGTACTTGATTCCTACTTCTGTTGGGAACAGAGAAGTTTTTTGCAGTCAGAAATTTGTGTCTGGAAGTCATTGTTCCTGAGTTTCCTGCATATTAACGCCCTGCGTTATTTTCATAAAAGACTGCATAATCTAAGAACCACTGTAAAAAAAAAATCTGCACTAAATACCGTGACAGGCAACCTTCAGTGCCTTCACGATTTAGGCCTTGTTTGTATCACAACAATCAGCCATAATTTTGGGATCAGGTAGAACAAATTGTTTCTGGCTGTGACCTGAAATCTCTCCAACTCATAAATCATATATAGCACAAAGAAGTGAACTTCTGCTAAACACAACCTCGTTTAAGCTCTTCACCTCTAGTTAGAAAGTGATGAGCTAGCAGTACGGCCACTCTTATTCACGACCAGTAATATGGTGCCGCTTGCAGCTCACAAACAGAAGCCCTTCAACATATCTCTGCATATGTACGTAGTAACTTGCCAAGATGCGTTTGTTTTTATCCGTTTTGGAAAAATATGAAAGGAAATAGATAACCCAGCAGACATGTACTCAAAGCAGGATCAACATGGTGCAGCATGCCCTGCTACGTTCTGTCACACACACAGCTGTGAGGAAGGAACATGCAAACCACTCACACATTGTTAGGAGATCCTGCCCAAGCCGAAAAGGAAAAAAAAAAAAGGGAAGAAGGAGGAAAAAAAGCGACTGCTGAGTGGTTTCAGGAAGACGATCTCATGCCACTCTAAGCTTTGGCAGGACTGAAATAGTTGATGTCCAGAGAGACTGGCTGCACATTAGCTATTACGTGCAAAACACAGCATGCCTAAAGGCTTACTGATAAGCTGCAGGGAAGAATGGGTCTTAAAAGAGCCTAATTGTCCTATGTGAAAAATGAGACAGAACTGACGGTGTTTTCAGTTCTGGCTTGATGGGCAGCTCAGTTCTGATGGCTGAAATAAAAGTGTACTCCTAGAAACACCTATAAAATGGTTGGGGACACACTTAGAAATTACACACACGGAAATCAGAACATAGTTAAGCATTCAAGCACTTAAGCTGTGGGACAGCACTCCATACGACTACTGAGGACAAAAACTACTGGCTTTCCTGATGAGGTACGATTAGTTTATGGGTAGGATTATATGACATGGTTGCCTGTAATAGCAGGGGGACAGGACCTCATGACCCACAAAGTTACTTTCAATATTATGTTTCCAAGTGATCCTATGATCTACAAGATAAGAACCACCACAGATTACAAAGTCTTTTTCAAACACATGAGCAAGAAAAAATATCTGAAGTGTGCAGTCTTCATAACCTTCTTCCCACGACCTCATGTATTTTCCTGGTTAAGAAAAATTTATAAATAAGGAACAGCTTTCACTCCTGAAGCTGAGTATGGTAATAACAGCCTTTTCCCCATTAATTTTCTAATTGTCAGTCAAATGAAAAAAAGGTATTAAAACATTAAGCAGCAACAAGCATTCCTGAAGTGATGACAAATACAGATAACACATTCCCCATTTATGTGTACAATTCTTCCAAGTTTTTTTTTTTTTTTGCTTGTAAATTCTTTTCAATTAACTTGTTCTTATGGAAAATAACACACATGCTATTTACTAGCTGCATGGCACAACCAAATGTTTTTAATCTTACATGTAGTATTAATACTTACGATGACTCACAGTTTTTATACACAAACATGAACACATATATAAAAAAAATAAAACAGTTTGGAGAACACTACGGCAGCATCCATGATCCCATACACTATTATTACACTCTATTCCTGCACTTACTAATGGCTACTTTAATATGGAGACTCATGCTGGAAAAAAAAAACCCTGAGATATATATTCATGACATCTTTGCATGTTAAACTACAATAAGCTGATGTCTGCAATACAAACAACAACCTTAGACATGTAACATTTTTCATTTACAAAAATAACACACAACAATAGTGCAACTACTCTTGCCAGCACAGCACTGCATTACATGTACATACAGCTACTGTTCAATGAAAGTCTGAGCAAACAAACTAGCATTCTTCTATAACCACCACTTTTCAAATGGGTACACAATTTTGTCTCATGCACCTAAGAAACAAAAATTGAAATGTGTAAAAAAAAAAAAAGACTTTTCCCCCCCCACCCACATTCCAATAGGGTTTTAAAAAGAAATAAAGTCCAGTAACATTATGAAGTCAGTCAACCTTACTGCTCAACTGGCCACAGATATACACAGATTTATTATGAAGTCTCTTTATATTTGACACTATACTATTTACTTTTTTCCGAATGCTCTTTATTACTCTTATTTATGCAAGAATCTGCTTGGTAGAACAGCATTCAACCTTAGTATGTCTATTACAACTGCCATTTATAAAACTAAATTGAAAACATATGACTTACGGATAAACTGTGGAAAGCCTTTTAAATTAACAGACCTTTTTGATGCTGTCTCTGCCAGTCACAACTTAACTCCTTCAGTGATATCTCTTTCAGTCATCTCTAAAAACGTGTTGATGATTAGGCAAGATGATGAATCTTTGTATTACTAAGCAATTGCATTTCCCCAGAATAGACCTTGATATCCTTCCATCCCCTCAAGAATCCAAAGGCAAAGCTGTTTTTATCAAAGTCTAATCAGACAGTGTCTACTTGTTTCCAATTTCAGCATGTGTATCTTTTCTCAAAGAACTGGCCAGATTTAAACAAATAAAATAGAGCAAAACCACCTCTATTTTCATTTTTTATTTTTCAGTTAGCTTCAGAAGAAAGAGTTGCCTACAGTTGCTTCAGTATTATTCCCTTTCAGGAAAAAAAAAAAAACCTTTTAAACTCAAATCACAATACATTTTTAATATCTAAGCAGTTATGTTCCTTTTCATAACTTGTATTTAACCCACAGCACTCAATGTTAGAGGATTTTCTTAAAACAAATAATTTCAAATTTTAGAAGAAAAAACAGATTTGGTACAAACTAAGAATGACTATTTTACGTGAACACTAGCATTCAAGGTTGGAGCTGCCAAGTTAAAGCACCATTTTAAACCCATAGAACTTTTTCCACGCAAAGCTTTGCAGAAGGTATTACTAATACTGAATGGGCCACAGCAATTTTGAGGTTTAAAAACTGAATGTTTGTAAAAATATTTGAAATTATTAGTTAACCATGTGATAATGAACATCTATTACATTTTCCACAACAGCCTCGTGACTGCTAGCAGAAGAAACCCTAGCACATTACAGTACAAAAGATCCAAATTAAAGTTTTCAGGCTGTCTTGCTGCCATCTTGCTATCGTATACTCCTATTTTTACAAATCTTCTTTTGTTTCAGAAAAAGTCAAACAGAAAAAAAAATGGACCCTCCATTTAACACAGAAAATAAATAGTGTTCTGTCATAAGAAATGCAAGGTTTTTTCTCTGTTTATAGAGTACTTTGCACAGTATAGACTGATCTTTGACTAAGACCTCCAAACTGCTGTGGAACTGCAAAACACATAAAAAAGCAACATGGTGACAAACACAGAAAGAGAAACTGAACATTTTCAGCCCATAGGATTTTTCTATTGCAGAGACTTTTTAATAGCAGCTTACAACAATAAATAAAACATTCCATTAAAAAGGGTAATGTTTTTAGTTTTTGAATATATTAGAAAACACTCATGGTATTTCATTCTAGTTTACCCTTTAACTATCCACCCAGTACAGATGAGAGGGTCATTAAATATGTATTTTAGAAACTCAGGAACAAAAGGCCATGTCAAAGTACAAATACAGCATAGAACACATGAAAATGTAGTTTTAAGACATTTAGCATTTTTTTTCCCCTCAGAAGCTTGAGAAAAAGACATCAGGTATCACAAGACTCAAAGGTGAAACTTAAAAATCCTACTTCTAGTTTTATCAGTGCTGTTTACACAACCATTTTTGTTAGCTTTCATTCATATTAAATAAAATTCACATTTTAAAGCATACTTTAATGTTTACAGCTGCTCCCTTTGCAAAATACTTCATCTTTTCATAAAGTCAGTATGGGCTGTGTATGAAAATTATTACCAAAAACACTTTAAGTACACCATCTAAAAGGCATTGTTTTCTCGTATCCTACCTACTGTAATTGAAAACTGGGAATTTACTGGAACTGACAATTTATTATGAGTCAGATGGTTGATAGCCAGTCCAACCAAAACATCTGCTCTGCACAGTCACAACTGCTATAACCCATTTCCTCTTGTGCCTGGAGTCTAACCAAGTTGTACATTAGAGTTCCTTTTCCTTAAAGATGCAGATTCTGGAAAATCAGCTATTACCTTTTCTTAGTTATCAACAAAAATTCATCGTGCAATCTTTGATTAGTGTATGCTTTCAGGAACAGATTTTTCTATATGTGGCACTAAGTCTGCTTCTCCGCACTGAACAGTAACACATGCGAAGTTGTAAGAGACTGCATACTCTATTTGTAGTCAATCGCCTAGTGGAGAGGATAGCCTGTTACTGAAGGGAGAAGGCACCCGGGGACCTGCTTGCAA